CGGGCAGAGAAACCAGCATTTACAAGGAACTGGGCTTGATCACTGTGAGCACGGTTAGACAACATCCAGCAGCCCAAATGGCTCAATTCCAGGATGCATGGACGGAGATGAGGCTGGCCGTGGGAACTGCAGGAAGTTTTAAATTAGGAGTTCACATTGACACAGGACAGTGAGAAGGCAGGAAAATTCCTTGGCAAGTGGAAGAGGGAAACTGAGACAGGTAGCTGGACAAACTAGCCAAGCGATTTACAGCCAGATACACAAGATCACCTCCCCAGAGATAACATAAAGGCCTCAGGTGTATTTCAGCTCCAGGACCAGAAAAGCAGCAAAATCAGGTGTGCAGTGCTATGGAGACCAGGCCCCTGAAAGAGCACACCTGGGACACTGATGAATATTCTGCTGAAACCCTCTCCAGAGACCTCCCCTAAGATTCCTGCCTGCAAGAAAAAGATAAAAGCCTCAAGACAAAGGACCGATGATCTTGCTCCCCCTCTGGGAAGCAGCTGTGCCATTCCCTGTCCCCTCTTCTCCGCTCACAGACACACATCTCCTAAACGCTAAGGGACCCTGAGACTTGCAATCTAGGAAGCAATGGGCAGCAGCAGCTCTTCCCAGGCTACCTCCCTGAACCTGTCTCCATGGCCCCCTCGTCTCTGACTTCCCAGGGAGCTAAGGCAGCTCAGCCTCGGCTCTCCTCTTGCTTCTTCTGTGCGAGGCCCTTCCCTGTTTCAGTCCCCAGCTTTAATAAACATCCTAGTGGTCACCTGGGCTAGTGTTGTAACATCTTTCCTACACGAAGTCAAGAACTCACACACTATTGGCTGGCTCCAGACAGACCCGCTCAGGGTCAGGCTCCCTGTCTGGTAACAACATGAGCTGATGTTTTAACAAGAGAAACCAGTTGAGTAGCGGGGACCAAGTCCAGACGAAAGAGACAATGAGGCCTGAACCAGGGAAAGGTTCTATAAGCATTTTGGAGGTTCCAGAACCACTTTGGAGAAAAATAAGACCTGGACTTGGGGACCAGAGGCAGGAGTACGTCTAGGTGGATGCGGGGGCCATTCACTGAGTCAGGCGGCCAGGAGAAAGTGCCCGGAGATCCAGGAGACAGGCACTCAAATCGGAATGACTAGACTCAGTGGCATTCACCACTCCTGATCCAGAGGGAAAAAGCAGGGGTCACAACAGGTAGAGATCACTCACTCTCCAGGTGACATCTGATTAAAATTAGCTTTCAGAACAACCTTGACAGGCAAGAGAAAACTCAAAAGTAGAGCCTCAAGTAAAGAAAGACAGGTTCTGCAGACCAACTTCATTGTACATATGGCTCTCCAGGAGCAAATGTTCCCACAATGCCCACTACCTACCAGAACAATGGCTAAGATCCTCAGCTTGGTGCTCCAGGCACCTGGTGACCTGCTTCCAGCCTATCCCTGGTGAGCATTTCATGTTTCACTTGCTCATGTTTGGCCCCTCCCTTCCTGTGAAAACACAAGAATAGCTCCTGCCCTGCTCCAACTGCATGGTCCAGGTGGGGACTGTCCACCATGGCAGCCCACGCCCGTGACCGAGGGCCTAGTTGCCATAGTACTTGTCTTAAAGGTAACATGAGCCAAAAATCATGCTTTTGTCTTAGGCTAGTGTGGGAAGGTTAAAAAAAAATTACTTTCCTCCCACCTTCTGAGCTCTTGTAGCTGGACTAATAAATTAATACAAGACAGATTAACAGGAATAAAATGTCCAAAATTTATTACAAATATGTGGAGGTGTCATAAGAATATGAGATCCACAGAGTCATTGGGCGGTTATGTTTATATGCTATTCTGGACAAAGGAAGGGGGTCTGAGATTTCAATAATAAAGCAAGTAGTTTACAGGAACATGAGAAAGAGCAAACATTTTAAACTCTTGGCAGCCCACCTAGAAATCATGGGACACAGAAACAGACCTTGCTAGATTTCTCTTTGTCTGCCACATCTAGTTTATGTTAGGATGCTAAGGTGACACTTCCTTCCTTTGAGCAGGTTTTTCTATCTGAATCCCTTTATGCAGGGAAGGGGGAGGGTCCCAGGTTTTTCTGACTCTTTTGTTTCTTAATAACTAGCATAAAATCAATATCCCAAAAGGCATATTTTGGTCCCCTTCACTAGTCCATGTCTGGGCTTCTTTCCTTGTGTCCAATGGAGTCATAATAAAGAACCATTCTGTTCTCTCTTCTCTTGTGCATCCCTCCATTCTCTCCCCCGTCACACCCTGCTGTTCACATTTCTTCAGACTGATCCTGTGTTTGTACCCTTTGTCTTCCCTCCAGACTCCCTCAGTTTGGACCAAATTGTCCGCTCCTACTTGTCTGAAGAGCTCTTACTCAGGAAAGCCATCCCTGACCACCCTGAGCAAGGCTTGCCATGGCCTCCTCTGGCCTGTCACAGTTTTTTGTACATGTCCCCATCACCTAGTATCCCAGTGACCTGCTTTCTTGTCTGTAATCCCCCATAAACTATGTTATCTCCATGACCCCACTGCCTGGCAAAGGGCCTAGCACAAAACATAATAAATCTTTACTGAGTAAGTGAATAGACGAGTTAGAATCTTTCTTTCTTTCTCTCTCTCTCCTGCCATTTCCCTGAGTCATTACTTGGTTTCTATCAAGAGGAGACACAGAAGAAAAACTAGGAGGAACTGCTTTAGTCCCTTGATTCAAGGGTGATGGATTCAGGAGAGAGAAAAACACCAGTAGAAATGCGGGCATTGCAAAGTCCAGTGGCATTTATCAGAGGTCAGTTTTCTTCCGAAGCACTGATGGTGGCAGCTTTGAGCTGAGCAGAGTTTGTTTGGGAGCCAGAGCCAAAACTAACATTTAGTATGTTGAGCTTTTCAGCAAGCTAGGATTCTGACAGCTATTCCTGTCAGCTGCCCAGGGAAAGCACCTAAAAGCCATCTGAGTCTGCCTAGAGCCAGGGGTCCCCACCTCCTTTGACACAATCTGACTCAAGCAACGAGGCAGCCCTCTCCCCAACTCTTCATCTCCACCACAAGCACACACCTCCCAGAAGGCCCTTCCATTGATGATTGGGCACTAAGAACAGAGTCAAAAAATGGCTACAGGGAACTTGGGCCCGTATAACAAGTTCTGGCCAATAGTCTGTGAGCAGAAGTAACACATCATTTCCATGCTAAAGTATTTAATTGCTGGCAATTAAATACCGCTCTCTTTCCACTATTGAGCCAGTCCTGAAAGTCTCACGTTGAGGTGGTGGAGCCAGGGATGCAAGTGGTTCAAATCTCTGAGTTACCCAGTGGAGTGGAAGAGAGCTATCCTGGAAAGTGCCTGAGCCCACAGCAGATTTTGTGTGAGTGGGCAAAAATATACCATTGTTGTCTTAAGCCATTGAGATTTACAGTTGCTCATTACCACCGCGGAGCCTAGCCTACTCTGAGCAATGTATAGAAATTCATTGTTTTAGCCATCCAACATCAGACCTCCTTCCTCCTGGAGGAGAAATATTCCTTCTCACAGACATCTCTTTGGTATTGCCAAAATCAGTGGTCCCTTCTTTGTTTTTATCTGTCTGGATTTCTCAGCAGCTTTTGTCACAACTGACAACTTCAACCCTGGAAACATTTTTTCTTGATGTCTATGGCATCATACCTGCTTGGATTTTTTCCTATTTCACAAACTCTGCTTCTTAGTTTCTTTTGCTGTCCCTTCTGTTTCGCCTTAAAAATTTTAAGGTTTTTCAGGGCTTATTCCTAGGGACCTTTTTACAATTATTTTATTTTAATTTACTGATGAGAGAGAGAGATCAACTTGTTGGTCCACTTATTTATGCATTCATTGGTTGATTCTTGTATGTGCCCTGACTAGGGATCGAATCTGCAACCTTGGTGTATCAGGACATTGCTCTAACCAACTGAACTAACCTGCCAGGGCCCTAGGGACCTTTCTCATGGTTTTAAATATCACCCATGAAAAAGACAGTGGTTACCTTCCAATAGTCATTCTACTATTCTTCATTCATAATAAAGCCCCTATTTTTAGGGGCACATTGTGCCCAGTTAAAAGACTACATTTCCCAGTATGGCCATGTGACTGTGTTTTCTTAAAAGGAAAAAGGTGGACTTTCCTTTTTCCTCCATACTGTCTGGAATGTGAACTATATAAAAAAAGATTGGAAACCAAGTGTTGAGGATGCCTACTTTTGGTTATTTTTCATGAAGAGAGATATAAAGGTCTATCGTAAGTCTTTTTGTTGTTGTTGTTGTTGCTTGCTTGCCTCCCATTTGGAAGGTGGAATCCAGATCCTCCCGCAGCCAGGAGAGTAGGGAACCAGCACAAGAAATGCACTTCCAACCCCGCCCCCTCCAAAAAAAATGCTGGGCCTCCTCCCACAAATTCTAAATAACCAAGCTACCAGGAAGATATAATAGGAGGTGGATCTGGGAATAAAGTTTATTAGCTCACAAAGAGCATTAAATGCTAGATTAAGGAATTTATACTTTATTCTGCACATCCCTTGTACATAGGGAGACCCTGTCTGTCTTATTTGGTAATGCCTCTGCTTTGTAGATGCTCAGCGAATGACTATACTTTTAATGGTGTTTGTTTAATAAACAACAGGAGAAATGTTGGAAGGCAGACCAGTAGGGAATCACCATTTGATCTACGCTTGCCTGCTTTTTACAGACGAAATAACTAAAGCATCAGTTGCTAGAAGAAGCATTCAGACTATCCACGAGGCGGGGTGATCCGGGCATTGGTGACAGAATTGTGGGGAGAAGGCCAAAGAGAGCCCCTGGGTTAGTATCTACTCAAGATGGCTGTCCTGGAACCACATGACCCGGAGGCGGTGAAGCTCCGCCCCAGCACGCCCGGCTCCTCCCCATTTGACCGCGCCCAGCGCCCCTCCGCCCTCGCGGTGCGGTTTGTGAGGTGTCTCTGGAAAGCGCCTGCGCAGTGGGCAGCGGCGCGAGGGGCGGAGGCTTTATAACTGCTTGGTTGACGCTGCTCGGTTTCTATCTTGGGGAGGGCGGCGGCGGCGGCGGCGGCGGCGGCGGCCGGGGCTCCGGCAGAGGGGGTGCTGAGGCGGGAGCTGTGGCGGCGCTGGGCGCCGCTCGCCCCTCGGCCTCTGGGGGCCATGGGCTCCGAGAAGGACTCCGAGTCGCCGCGCTCTACATCCCTACACGCGGCTGCGCCGGACCCCAAGTGCCGCAGCGGCGGCCGGCGCCGGCGCCTCACCTTCCACAGCGTCTTCTCTGCCTCGGCCCGTGGCCGCCGTGCGCGGGCCAAGCCACAGGCCGAGCCACCGCCCCCGGCCGCTTCGCCGCCGCCGCCCGCCCCAGTCCCGGCCGCGGCCCAGCCCCCCTTGCCCGAGGCGCTGCCCGCCGAGCCGGCCGCTGAGGCCGAGGAAGAGGCCGAGGAGGCGGCAGCGGCGGGGCCGGGGTTCGAAGATGAGGAGGCGGCGGAGGGCGGCATCCCGGGCCCGGAGGAGGTGGAGTGTCCGCTGTGCCTGGTGCGGCTGCCGCCCGAGCGGGCCCCGCGCCTGCTCAGCTGTCCGCACCGTTCGTGCAGGGACTGCCTCCGCCACTACCTGCGCCTGGAGATCAGCGAGAGCCGGGTACCCATCAGCTGCCCCGAGTGCAGCGAGCGACTCAACCCGCACGACATCCGCCTGCTGCTCGCGGACCCACCTCTCATGCACAAGTACGAGGAGTTCATGCTGCGCCGCTACCTGGCTTCGGACCCGGACTGCCGCTGGTGCCCGGCCCCGGACTGCGGGTGAGCGCGGGGGCGTGGCCGTCGGGGGTGGCTGGCTGCGGCCGAAGGGATCCGGGCCGGTGCCTAGGCACTGGACCTACCCGTGACCCGCCCCTGGAGGTGGCCCTCAGCGCAGCAGTGTGTGTGTGTGTGTGTCCGTGTCCCCGTCCGTGTCCAGACGTGAGGGAGAGGTGAGGGATGAGCCATGGGAGGGAGAGGGAGGAGGCAACTGTGGTGGCTTGGTAACTGGTAACCCTCCGGAAGCCCAGGCGAGCGCTGTGGACGCACCCAACACCCCGCCCCTGTCCAAGAGCTTGAGGTGGAGGCTGAGTAGTGGTTGAGGGAGGGAGCTATGCATCAAGCCAGGAGGCAGGGCAGTTTTTTGTCGGGTAAATGCCCCTCTGTCCAGAGGCAAGGAGTGTCTCTCAATGAGAGGATATATGGCAAAAGACGAAATGAGAATATCCTTCTGAAGGGGCAACGCTTTGGAGGGGTGTGTCCATTTGGCTAGGGTGAGACTTAATAGCACTGCAGGAGAAGGTGTGTTCTTCCTGACCACTCCTGGTGAAAGTTGGGATGGAGGTGACGAGAATGGCACTAGGGGGGAAAGGACAGCTGTCTGGCAGAGCTCTGGGGGCACCGTGGGCCTTGTGTGTCCTCTTGCCAAGCTCTTGGGAGGCCCCCTGTGGTTCTTACACTGCTGCCTTGGGCAGGGTGAGGAGTGGACCGTTTGTCCGAGAAGCAGTGGGTCACTCAAAAGAAGGATGCCTAGAGGATTGGTACGTTAGGAGAAAATGTGTCTCCCAGCCCCTCTGATCTTGAGTTTTGATGATGGTCTTTTTAATGCACCATATATGTTAAGTTTTTAAGGTCAGTGAGAAAATGTGCTGTGACTGCAGAAACATAATACCACCAGATTTAGCAGTCTGGAGCATTCAGTGGAGACCCTCTTCCCCCCACTTTTTAAAATTTGTGTGTCGCTGTCAGTGCCTCCCATGCAGCAAGGGAGGGGCTCCTCTAAGTGGAGTCAGAGTCAGACTGCCCTCACCTGCAGATCATTTTATTCTTGTGTGCCATGTTTTGGGGACAAAAAGATGCTAGAGACTCTTTGCAGTAGGTAATGTAATGCTAGTAAAACGCTTCATGATCTTTGCTTCAAAGGCGTTAAGAAGGGCTTTTAATTGTAGCCTGCATATCAAGGCTGTTTTAAGATTTCCATGATGCTTCTGTGTGCCTCCTTCAAAAGAAGCCGACATAGTCTATGTAGGGGAGTAAGAAGAGTAAGCTGCTTCTATTTATCTATTCTGCCAAACTTGTTTAGAGATGGGTGTGTTATTTAACCTAACTCAGATGGGGTTTCTAAATTACTTTGAAGTGTTGTTGTCAAAGGAACTGTGTTTATCTATGGTAGATCACTTTCACTTTCAGTTAATAAGTATCAGAAAGAACCACGTAGGCTCTGTAGAAGCTTATGTAGAAGCTCTGTAGAAGTTTTGCTTATGTCTGGTGATCCAATGAGCCTGAAGAGGTTAATTTATATGGTATTCACTGTTTTCACAGACACCCTTGATCTGTTTTCTGAACCAAAGGAATTTAAGTGAACACTTAATTTTGGAATGGTATATTAACTCCTTTTTTGAGATGTGAGTTTCCTTGAGTGTGGGACCACTGATTATCTTTCTGGAAAAGCTCCCTTTTGTTTTTGTTTTTGTTTTTTAAGATTTTATTTATTTATTTTTAGAGAGGGAAGGGAGGGAGAAAGAGAGAAAGAGAAACATCAATGTGCAGTTGCTGAGGGCCGTGGCCTGCAACCCAGGCATGTGCCCTGACTGGGAATCGAACCTACGATGCTTTGGTTCAAAGCCCGCGTTTAATCCACTGAGCTACGCCAGCCAGGGCCCTTTTGGTTTTTTATACCTCTGAAATCAGTCTCTGACTTTGCTCACATCAATAAAAAGAGTCAGGAGTTAATTTACAATTTTGATGACAGCTCCAAACCATCACTGATTTGGGAGTTATTAAAGAAATAGGCCATTTTCTATTTTAGCCAAGTATTGCATCAGTTATCATCCAGAGGTTTTTTTCCAATTAGTTAAAAGAATTATAACAATCTTATATATAATTCTTTTTAATGTGTTATCTGTCAGTTTAAAGAAGGTGAAGTCTGGGGAAAGAAAGCAAGCTGGCATCTGAGTATCCATGTGCCAGGCATACATAATTTAATTTGATCCTTGCAACATGGCAAGATAAATTTGATCTAGTTTTACAGATGAGGGGACCAAAGTTGAAGTAAATTTCAGAGTCATGTAACTAGTGGAAACACTGGTCTAAACTCCAGTCAAGTTCAGTATTCTTTCCTCAGCCTCTTTTTTAAAAAGCATGGGCTTGTCAGCATTATTGGGAATGCTACTGTTTGTGTCCTAAGGACAACATTGAGAGAGCTAAGTATGCTAGAATTCATTTTCTTTTCTGATTCTTATTGTTAACAGTCTCTTACCTACTTTATTTTTCTTATCTGAGATAGGCCTAATCCTTTCCTGACCTGAGAGGCTCATTTAATGTTTGCAAAGTGTTTTGAGATCTTCATTTGAAGGTGTTAAATAAACAAGGAGTAACTTTAAAATTCTGCCACCTCCCAAACAGGTGTCTGAGTTCTCAAGGGATTTGGCCAATGGTTTTGTCTCTTTCTAATGCCAGGAGAAAAATAGCTTGTTTTGTTTTGTTATAATCACAAACTGGTCTGCTTTTCTGGGTCTAGTAAAAGTCACGGATGAGCACTAGAGCAGAAGTCTAAGCCCTGGTTATCTTTTCTTCTCCTCGTATGTGACCATGTTTACTTTTACTGTCCACACACAGATCAAGATCCTACCAGCCAAAGTTATCAAGTCTTTCCTTTGCTCTCTGTGTGTCTGTGTGTGTATTTGGCAGGGTGAAGGAGTATGTGAGTGATCCTCCTGAGTTCTGGTCACTAGTTTCACTGTGATTACTCATGATGATGAGAACACTGTATATTAAAAGACTCATTCAAATTTTTTATTGATTTTTTTTTTTTACTGAGAAAGAGAAAGGGAGGGGGAAAAGAAACAAATACAGGTTTGTTCTACCCATCCACACATTCATGGGTTGATTCTTGTGTGTGCAGCTCAAACTCGTAACCTAGGTAAATCAGAATGTCGCTCCAGCCAACTGAGCTACCTAGCCAGGGCAAGATTCATTAATTGTTTACAAAATATTTGGAGAACAGAGCAAAGACTGAGTTTTTCTTTTCCCATACTTGAAATAATTTTATTTTACTTATAAATAAGGGAACCAATTTTAGGAGGGAAACATTCATATTATTTAATATTAAGTATAATAACATCAAGTGTAATCTTTAAAACATACTCTTAAATGAGATAAAATTAACTCAAAATAGAGATAACTGACATTTTTATAGTTTGTATAATTTTCAGACTCAAGCCTCATTCAGAAATAATTTCATTTTAGTTTCATACAGGTAGATGGTGGTAAACTCATTTTGTAAGGGAGAAACCAGTGCAGAGAAGTTTGTATGGAACCCAGTGTCTCATGGCTAATAAACCATGCAGTGGATCTGTTACCCCTTGGAATCTCTGATTAAATATGAGGTGTTTTCAGAAACCCATGACACCTGTAAATATTTAATGTTCTCCTCACAAGTGCCCTGTTGTCAATCTTTAAACCCTTTCAGGATCTCTAGGAGACTGAGAGAGTGAGCAAATGAGGCAACAGAGCAGATCTTCCCTACAAATAATTAGGGGGTAAGGCTGTCTTGACCTAAATTCTTTGTACAGGTCCACCGCCGCAGCCTCTCATTGGAGAGTCCCCCTGCAGAGTGCCCCCTCCCACCTGACTACAGCAGGTAGCATCGTTATTGGCCTTCCTGGACAATTGGACTGGACCATCCCATAAATAGGAAGCTTCTGCTTGTCTCTAGCGTATTTATGAGGGAAGAGCAAGCTCCCTGAGCAGGACAAATCTTTCAGTGAAGAAGTTTTCCTCTCTGAAGCCTTCCTGGAACTCTTTTTCTGGGTTAACACATGAATTTATTGCAGTTCCATTCAGGATGGAACTCTTAATTTATACCATACCTTCTATATCAAAACTCTTCTCTCTATCTCCTCCCCCTTCTCGGCCATCTACATCATCCTTCAGTCCAATGCACCTTTCTCATATTTGCCAAAGTATTCATTCTAAAGTGGAACATTTTATATTCCTCCTCTGCTTAAAACTGTTCATAACTGACCTATAAAATGACTTCTTTTTTTTTCAATTTTGAAAATTTATTTTTTTATTTTTAAGAGATAGAAACGCCCTGGCTGGCATAGCTCAGTGGATTGAGCGCAGGCTGCGAACCAAAATGTCGCAGGTTCGATTCCCAGTAAGGGTACATGCTTGGGTTGCAGGCCATGACCCCCAGCAACCGCACATTGATGTTTCTCTCTGTCTCCCTATCTCCCTCCCTTCCCTCTCTAAAAATAAATAAAATCTTTTTAAAAAGAGATAGAAACATCAATTTGTTGTTCCACTTATTTATGCATTCATTGGTTGTTTCTTGTAAGTGCCCTTACCAGGGATAGAACTCACAACCTTGTTGCATCAGGACAGTGCTCCAACCAACTGAACTGCCAGGCCAGGGCAAGATGATTTCTTACATCTTTAATAACTTAGTATTTATATGATATCTTTATAATTTAAGCCCCTATACAGTATCCAGCAATCCTTTTATCTTACTTTCTATTTTTCATATATATGAATATTTTCCAAGGCATATAATAGGTATTTATGGAAAGAGAAATGTTTTGTGATCAGATAAGATTGGGAAATACTGGACTGAACAAAATAAAGCAAATTGATTTCTGAGATTTCATGAGCTTCTTAGGTCCTTGAGACATGCTAATATGCACTGTAAATCTTGTTAATGCTAATAATACAGTGAATCTTCAATCTGGTATAATCTTCCCAAACTTAGATCACCAGGAAACATGTTGTATATTCTATGGCATCTTGAATGCATAGTTGAAACTTTCCCTATTTACAGTTTTGCAAACTCGTTTAATAGTTATTCTGGCCTGCCTTCTGTCAGTGTCCTTATTTTTTTTATTTATTTATTTATTTATTTTTTAGGGAGAGAGAAACATCAATTTATTGTTCCACTTATGCACTCTTTGGTTGCTTCTTGTAGTTCCCTGACCTGGGACCAAACCGCAATCTTGGTGTGTTGGACCACGCTCTAACCAACTGAGATACCTGGCCTGGGCTTTGTTAGTGACCTTATTTAACAATAAGTCTTGATCTCTGAGTAGGTAGAGCTCCTCTAGACTAGGATAACTATAGTCCACCTCTTTCTACAACACTGTGAACAGACTCTTTCACTTAGCTCCCTGAAGAATAGGATGATTAGTTGAATTTTGTTAAGAAAGATAAAGGATACAAACAGCACAGTTTTGGGAGGAGAAACATAAAAAAAAGGGTGGATGAGAAGAGGACAGACAGGTGATTATTCTGCAGACCTTAGGTGAATACTGGGTATTAAACAAAAAGTACTTAAATGTGGACCTCTTGACAGGGAGTTTGACCTGGTAGAGGAGATAGGTGAATTGATAAATAGGTAGATCATTATAAATGCAATGTAAAAGATACTAAAGAAAATATAAATCCTCTTAAAGGATAGATGAAAGGTTTTGCAAAGTGGTGTCAAGATATGGGCCTTGAAAAATATGAGTAGAAATTCATATCAGGCAAACAAAGAAGTGAGTAGACAAACAAGGATCTTAAATAAAAATGTTACAAGCAAATACATGGAAGTATAAAAATAAAAGATGTCTTGAGGCTAGTTTGGTTAGTTTCTGAATGTGCAGTGTGGGGAGCATGATCGGGCAGTGACTAGAGATCAGTGTAGAAAGGTAGTCTGGATCCAGTTGATAGGCCAGTGTTATGCCATGCAAAGACTTTTAGGTTTGAAAGACTTTTTTCTTTTTGGTTGAAGGATTTTAAGCAAAACAATAGCATGATAGATTACCTTTTAGAATTGGAATTTGGATTGGAGTGGAGAATAAGGAGACCAGGTAGTAGTCTCTTGCAGTTGTCTGGCCAGGAGGTGACATGGGTTTAGAACAAAGGCAGGAAAAAGAAAGATTTGAAGGCTACAGCTCATTGTGACAACTTCGCCCATGTCTACCACCCTTTTATGTGCTCAAGGTTGATTTCTGAATGAAGTTGCATGGCCTGGAGCTAGGAAGTATAGACGTAATACAGGAACACATATCTTTAACTACCAGGGCCTGTTGGAACATAATCAAATTCATACTAAAGGGAGTTTCCCCCCAGGGCTGAAGTTAGATAATGCTAAGGTCTAGCCTGTCACACATTATGATGTTTTTGAAGACTAGGAAATTAACAAAATTAGTAAAGGTTGTATGAACTTAAAGGGGAAAAAGTATGCATCTGTATTCTTAGCAATGTGGAATTTCCTGCATCTTCTATTTTAGCTTCTAATTAAGCAAACCTGAATGTTTAGCTAAGCTAAGAGAGCAGGGTAGAGGAGAGGTTCCAGCGTGAGACATGAGACAGAAGACACAAGATGGTCCAGGCAGATTTGGTCTCTCAAGGATGAGGTTTTTCCCAACTACGTGGGGAGTGAGATCGCCCTATTTATTCTTTTTAAAGATTCTATTTATTTAGCTTTTAGAGTAGAGGGGAGGGGAAAAGAGAGGGAGAGAAACATCAATGTGCAAGACAAACATTTATTGGTTGCCTCTTGCATGCCCCCAACTGAGAACCTAGCCTGCAACCTGGGCATGGGCCCTGACAGGGCAGGTGGTGCTCCGTCCGCTGAGCCACACCAGCCAGGCCACATTGCCCTATTTAGAATTTAGAGGTTCACCCCTAAAGTGGTCTTACACAAAATTTTAGGATTAAGTTATAATACCTGACATACAGTAAGCTAGTTGGTACATGACTAAGTTTAAAAGATTGCTTTAGGGCAAAGTAATAGGTCAGGAGAAGAGCTAGAATGCCCTGGAGAAAACTAAAAAAACCTAAGTAGGAGAAAGTCTCTGTCATTCATTCTGCACAGGTATTTTAAACGTAAACTAGCGTGTCAAACCCTGGGGATTAAAAAATGGATACTTTTCCTTGAGTGTAGTCTGGTTAGTGCAATATGAATATAAACAAATGATTACTATATAATGTGATAAGTATTAAAAAGTAGTATATGGTAAGTATTTTAAGTATTATAAATTGTGCACAGGCATGAAATGGGCAAACACTTGCCTTGAGAGGTTAAGTAGATTTTATAGATGATGGCTTTTGAGCTGGTTATTACCTGGATAAGTATTCCCCAGGACAAGAAGTAAGGAAAGGACATTTCTAGGCAGAAGGAATAGAGTATGCAAAGGCCAGGAAGTTGGACAAAAAAATATGTGCTGTCATTTTTATACCACTCCTGTCTGAGCAAGACCTCAAATGCAGTTTCAGAACATATTTAGTAACACTTGAAAGTAGCAAGCACCTATACCTTCATTTTCAGAATAGGAGCTAAGGTTTGGAGGTTTTAATTAGCACACTGTCATGCAGCATGAGTCAGGGGCCAGAAGCCCAGACCAGGCACCCGAAAACAGAAATGCCAAGTCTCGTGCCCTGAGTAATTTTGTGTCATGGTAATGGATTGCTCTGGGCTCATGAGTATTTGGGTTTATTTTACTTCCCTTAACTAAATTCCACACCCAAAATTGACATTGCCAATTCCTGTCACATGTTTTTATTTCTAAAGAAGGGGGGTTGAGGGAATCTGCTAATAAATATTTATTCCCACCACATAAGGTAAAAATGGATCATGAAATGTTCAAGACTTACTGACTGGCAGTCTGTCTAATTTGTATTATCAGAAGTTGACTTAATATTTTTCTGAGATCATCCAGTATCTTTCCCATTTAACACACAATAGCAAGCATTCTACTTTCTTCAGGAGAAATGTTTATCTTTAGTAGTTATTTTGCAGCTAGATTTGCTTAGAACTCCTACAGGATATGAATCATTTGCATTCATACATTGATCTAACTTTGCTTTTTCTGAGAAGAGTTTTAATAGAGCATATATTATATAACAGATGATATTTGTCATCAATATTTTCAGATTCATTCTCAAACCAATTTGCAGAATCTAGGATAAACCTGAGAATTTGAGATATTCTTGTGAACATCTAATGTACATTCAAATAAACAGCAAACCATAGGATAAATCCAAGAAAACTTTATTCAGCTATTGGAAGAGAGCATGGAATAGGGGACAACAAAACGCAGACGGTAACACCTAACCCTGCAGTCATTGACTTATCTGAAAATTGTGTGAAATTTCACAACTGCTATTTTCCCTGTTTTGTTTATTTCTTTCTTTAAATTACTTTACTTATTTTTTACTTTAAATAAGGGTCCACTTGTTAGTGTAATCTGAGCACTTAACATATTTAGAATTAGTCACAAAGACTAATAATTGTAAATATATGAGATTGTTTTGTGGGAGAGTAATTCTTGGTAAACGCACATGAATTATAAGAAGCAGTTTGATGCTAGTGCTGATAGATTCTGAATTGCCCATCTTTACTGAGAATATGGGTCAGAAGAGAGGGGAGGAGATGTGGCCTTAATTCTGTATTAATTAATGAGGTAGATGAGTGGTATTCTTGGAATCTGAAGCTTGTCAAGAAAGAAGATATTTCAAGGTAAAGATTTGAATTGAGAGATAGAAGGAGAGAGGGAAGAAGGATGAAAAAAAAGCTATTGTTTCTGAGGCTGTGATCAGACCAGCTTCACTGTAGAATTTAAAAATGAAAAAGTACACATACTTGCTTTAGTTTTTGCTCTAGTTCTTTATTTCACTAATGTTCTGTCCTTTAATGTAAACAAATTCTAATCTCTCTAAATATAGCAAACCATCAAAAGGAAATCAGTTTGTACCTTGTTTACAAAACTTGCCATGGCAAATTGCTTCTAAAGCAGCTTAAACTATGACTGAATACATGCTAGAAATTCAGGCTAAATATGATATTTCCCCGTTTTTCAGTAAGTAAATGATTTGTGATTTTAGAATCTCAAGAAGAAATGTACTGTCTCACACAGAATATGTTTGAGTTTGTTAGGCATGCTTATGCGTGCATATTATGTGCATGTTCTTTTTTCTACATCGTATGTGGTGGTGGGGAGTACCATGCAGTGTTACCCCGCTGGAACTGATGAATGTCTGTCTGTCTGTCTTGGTTAGATCATTCTTATCTTACTGATATTGCTTCCTGTCTCCTTACCCAGTTATGCTGTTATTGCCTATGGCTGTGCAAGCTGCCCAAAGCTGACCTGTGAGAGGGAAGGCTGCCAGACTGAGTTCTGCTACCACTGCAAGCAAATATGGCATCCAAATCAGACATGCGATATGGCCCGTCAGCAGAGGGCACAGACTTTGCGAGTACGGACCAAGCACACTTCAGGTCTCAGTTACGGCCAAGAATCTGGACCAGGTATAAATTGGCACTGTTTCATTTAACTCTTTATTTTATACTTCATTATGTGAGCCCAAAGCTGGGAGGGATTACATTACTGTATAATCAAATATTTCTTGGGATCAGAAACTGTTTGACAATACTTCCAATATTATAATTGATATATATAGTTTTCCTCTCTGACCATTATACGTTATCCGACTCAGGTAAAATCAGAATACAAGAAATTGCATTTTCTAGTTTCTTTCTTTTTTTTACTGAGTTTCCAGAGAGAGAGGGAAACATCGATTTGTTGTTCCACTAATTTGTGCATTCATTGGTTTCTTGGTTGCTCTCTCATATGTGCCATGAGCAGAGATCAAACCTACAACCTTGGCATAGTGGGACAACGCTCTAACCAGCTGAGCTATCTGGCCAGTGCTGAATTCTCTCATCTCTGCTTTCTTAGTAATATGTCTCAGGTTGGCAAGCAATTGGGTCCTTTTGCTAGGGGCTTTTTAAAAACTTTAATTGTGAACAGAATTAAATTAAGACATTTAATTAGTGTCTTAACCTGTGTTGTTTACTATTTTTAGGTGCATTATCGCTTTTGGAAATAGGGTACAAATTTAAGGAAAGGAAATATTAGTATGGATTAATGATTAACCTTAAAAGTAGGTATAGCACACATTTAGTTCCAACCTTTACAAGTCAGAGAAAACATACTTTAAAATGTCAGTGGTTTATTACCTTTTATAAATGTACTTATTTCACTGATATCATTAGGGAGAGGCTAGTAGGAAAAATTTTACCATTCACTTTTTCCTGGCATAGCATAATCTCCTAAAATTGTCATTTAATAAGATAGTTCCTGGCTTGCTGTGAAGATTACCAGGTGTATGCTACATATCATACCCAATTATTTTTAGGTTTTGAATTTGCAAGAATCTTGGGAAGGGAGTCTGGTTTGTAGTAGAGCATGTCACAGTGATACTTGCTGAGCCTGAGAAATGAATTTCCTGAACTAAATTTTCTCAAAACTTAAAGCCAATTCCAGTCTACAGACTGTTCTTCCTGCTGGACTATGCTTTTAATTCTGCCAGCGTATTAGCTGGTGAAATTCCATTATTCTTGGAGCCATCTTTCTCTAGGGAAGCCTTCTTTCTCAGTGTGTGGTTCGAGTGGTGGGTACATTGTGAGTTTTTGAGATAGGCAGCTTAATCTATACAAGTAGGACTCATTTTATGAACTTTGCTGAGGTCTAGACACAGCCAGCCTTCCAGGGAGGTGGGTTGCACGATTTGGAATTCTTAGTCAAGAGTTCTTTACTGCCTCTTCATTTTTTATACATACTTCTAGGAATAATAAAGTCTAACTAAGATATACTGGAGTTCTTTTCCTGCTTATTCTTCCTTCCCCTCTCTTAGCAGATGACATCAAGCCATGTCCACGATGCAGTGCTTACATTATCAAGATGAATGATGGGAGCTGTAATCATATGACCTGTGCAGTATGTGGCTGTGAGTTCTGTTGGCTTTGTATGAAAGAGATCTCAGACTTGCATTACCTCAGGTGAGTTGGGAAAAGTGTCCATTGCTCTTACATTCTTGTTCTCTTACTGATTTAAAGGCAAGGATGTCAAAGAGACATAGTTCTCTGTCCTGTCATTATAGGATGAGGAAATTGTAAAAAAGTTCCTCTGAAGCATCCTTCTGATCATGGTATTTTCCAGCTCAGCAGTTTCTGGGGACTGTTTCCATGACCTTGCAGATAGAGTTCAGTTTCCTTACAAGCTTGAATTGTAAGGCTTTCCACGGCCTGGCCCTAATTTACTTTTCTAGCTTTTTCCATTTTACTTTCATACATGCTATATTCCAAATACATAATCTAGGCTTGCTGTTCCCTGGGTCTCTTCTGTGCTATCCTACCCTTCCATGCTTGTTCACAAGTTCTTCTTCACTTTGCCTGGAATGATTTCTAATCACCTCATCCTCCTAGCAACCTCATTTTATCCTAGCCTGTTCAGTTCTTACCAACCCTTCAAGGGCCACTTAAATGCTGTTTCATCCATTGTGCCTTCCCCTGCCTCATTCTTCTCCATTGACATTCCTTAAATGCTTCTTTATAAATGTGATCATTTTACTTCATGTACATGTCTAATTTTTCTGAACTGTATTAAGTTTCTTAAGGCTAGAATTACTTTTTCAAGTTCCTTACACGTAGTGAGTTTCTAAAGAATTTATTGAATGGATATTAAAATATTGTCCTGAAGGAGTTAATACTTACAAATTTAATATTCACTGTGTGGGTAAAACACTTTAATTTCCAATTTAGCATACATTTGAGTACTTACCGTCTACCCATTAATGGGGACACAAGTGTGCATAAGCCATGATCCCTTCTTTAAACATTGCTTTTCCCATCCGGTGAGGGGGCAGGACAAAGAGGGAGCAAAAATGGTTGGATTCAAAAGGGCTGAGTGTAAAAGTAGCCAAACTAAGAGTATGAAACTGACATAAAGACTGAGACAAATCTTTTTATATCCTTTCCCAGAAACATGGTTTGCAGTATCTATTGGCTGTGGTAGGACATATACCAAGAAAACTGCAAATCAGAATGTGCATCAGCTGCAAAGCACGATGCAGTTGGATGACGTGTCGAGTCTGCAGGCTATGCAGGGTCCTGAGTAGAGTCAATCAAGGAAGCTGGATCAGTGTTGGTGGGCTAGGGAGGACATAGTTCAGCAGAAAAGAACAGAAAAGAGGTTTCATGTCTTTACAAAAAAAGCAAGGCCCCAGAGCTCCAGCAGTCTGGCCTTGGCCTTTGCTCCCCTTGTGTAATACACTCATTTCCTGTAACTTTTTGTAACTGTTAACCACTCCTAATTGAAAAGAAGGCTCTTGCTCTTATCAAGCTCTCTGTTGACAACAGCTGCTTCTATTTGTAATATTGACATTAACTTCATTTTTCCTCTGCAGCCCCTCTGGCTGCACATTCTGGGGCAAGAAGCCATGGAGCCGTAAGAAGAAAATTCTTTGGCAGCTGGGCACGTTGATTGGCGCTCCAGTGGGGATTTCCCTCATTGCTGGCATTGCCATTCCTGCCATGGTCATTGGCATTCCTGTTTATGTTGGCAGGAAGGTAAGACATTGAGTTAGTTCTGTGCATGTTCCATTTTCAGGTTGCTTAGTAAAGTTTTGAAGGAAATGGGGAGGAGCTTATGTGTCAGAGCTGCCTGAAAACCAGGTGGTTGTTGGATAAAAATAACCTTAATTTCTTAAATGGATTTTCATAAGCCCTCAAGAGATCTGAAAGTTATTAACATCCTGGACTTGGTTTGTCTCAGTCAGTGACTTAAAGGTGAAATGCTTACTTCACCCTCCTGAGTTATTTTGTCTCCTTGGTTTAACTTTCTCTGTATTAGTTTAGATCATCCTGGTCTGATGAGGTTAAAATTTAAGAAGGATGCTTTTTGAGTGTGGAGGATATGTTTTACTCTCTTGGCAAAAAAAAAACAAACTGATGTTCTAACCTGCTGGCCGGGGTTTTTTCTTTCTTGTTTATAGATTCATAGCAGGTATGAAGGAAGGAAAACCTCCAAACATAAGAGGAATTTGGCTATCACAGGAGGAGTGACTCTGTCGGTCATTGCATCCCCAGTTATTGCTGCAGTTAGTGTTGGTAAGAAGCTGGCCAGGACCACGACTTCAGTCTGCCTCGCTCCCCTTTTCCTCCCCTACCCTCCACAACTGGCTTTCTGACTAGAGCAGTTAGCCAGCTAGCCAGATGTTTCATCCTGGAAACCCCTACATTTTATACCAAACCCACCTTGGGAGTTAACGCTATTAGGTACTATTGTTATTATTATCAACCACACTAAATTATCAGAGTTAGGGAATCTTTCAGAGAAGGTTAAATTAATATTACTTTAAGACCTAGTTTTTCACCTTTTTTCTCCATTTGCAGTAGAACCCACAAAACGAAATTACTTTTATTTTGATTTGCTTAGTACATCCCACTATTTCGCAGAAGGATGAAAGTTTTTTTCAGAATAATAGTACTATAATATTTATTGAGGCTCTCCATGTGCCAGGAGCAGTTCTGCGTGTTTCTTACGCATTAATTTATGTTATGTTCACAACAGCACTATTGTAACAGAAAGGTGTAGTAATTTGCCCAAAGTCACTTAGCTGGGACATAAATCAAAGCAAGCTGACCTGGCGCCTGTGCTCTTAACAACGAAGCTATTCTGTCTCGTGTGGAATAGGATTTTGGAATCAACACTGGGGGGGCGGATCCTAACCCCAGGAGTCATTGGATGTTTGGTTATTGATTTGTTTTTGGATTAGCACTTCAGCAATGAATAGAAGGGAAAAAAATGAAAGCAACATATATATATATACTAGTTACTGTATATATCACAGGTGGCAAACACAAGGCCTGCAAGCCAAATCCGGCCTTCTACCTTGTTTTATCCACCTGGTACCTTGTTTCTACCCAGCAGCAGTGCTGAGCTCCTTGCCCCTAGTTAAAGAGTAGTACATTTATACAGTCCTAAAATTATATTCGGCCCTTTGAAGGCAACTGTGAGGCCGATGTGGCCCCCGGTAAAAATAAGTTTGACACCCCTGGTATATATGTTCTCTTTCAGTCATTGACAACTCTGGAAAGGTATGTCTAGGGTCACATGGTTAATAAATTGGAGCCAAGATTCTAATACAAGCCTTTCTAAGGCCAGTGGTCACTATTAGGATTAATCTTCCTCTTTGGGATAGCCATCTTCTGCCTTTCCTTGGTCCTTTATAAAGTGGTTTGTCTATGCTCAGGCTGGGAAGGAAACTCAGGGCAGTTGCAGCCTGGTGGCCTGCTGACATATCTCCTTCTTTTCCCCCAGGTATTGGTGTCCCCATTATGCTGGCTTACGTCTATGGGGTTGTGCCCATTTCTCTCTGTCGTGGAGGCGGCTGTGGAGTTAGCACAGCCAACGGAAAGGGAGTGAAAATTGAGTTTGATGAAGATGATGGCCCAATCACAGGTAAAAGGAGGTTTTTCATTTCCTTTTGAGTTTATAGAACACAAGATAAAAATCAGTAAAATTTAGCACATTTTACAGAGAGATTGCCATTGGATTACTTTGGATAATGAGCTTTGTAGGGGGTAAAGTATTTTTAGCTTTTCATTTCTTTGTTCCAGAGTTATTAGGTTAATTCCTCTGGTACCTGCCTCTTTGTGGCAGGTACAAACTCGGAGGATTCCAAGTTTGCTGGTAATAGTAGTGATTATAATAAAGTCAAATCTGTACAGTACTTTATAATTTTCAGAGGACTTGACACAGTCATTATCTCACTAGGTCTTTTCGTAACAGCTCTCTGAAAAGGAAGGATGAAAGTTATCGCTATTCCCCATTTAATGGCAACTTCTTTAAGCTTTTGTCTCAACATCTGTGAAATGGGTTTAAGAGCTTCTACAGAGCTGGGACTAGAGCAAATCTTTTGACTTCTACTTAGGTGTTGTTTCCACTTTATTGTATTAACTCATCTGGAGCACAGAGATTTCCCAAGGTTTTTCAAGTTTCCTGCTAGGTTCAGCACATAAATCATATTTTGAAATCTTCATGTTTGATTAGATGGTATCTATGGTATATTGGAAAGAATAGTGGACTTGGAATCAGAATTTTTGTTTTTTGTGTGACTAACCATGATTTGGACAAGTCATTCAGTTCTAAGCTTTTGTGTCCTCATCTAAAATTGGAAAGATTACAATACAAATAAATATGTGGTGAATCCCCTGATGTGTGGTGGCTGTGCATAGTAGCTATTCACTAACTGAATAGATGGCTATTTTGCTACATGAATATTTTCCACTCAGAAGAGTCATTGCAGGAAAATGCCAGACTGTTTTGATGCTGTGCTCTCTTGAATTGAGATGTTTGGTTCCATCCCCAGTGGCAGATGCCTGGCGAGCCCTCAAGAATCCCAGCATTGGAGAAAGTAGCATTGAAGGTCTGACTAGTGTCTTAAGCACCAGTGGAAGCCCGACAGATGGACTCAGTGTTATGCAGGGTCCATACAGCGAAACAGCCAGCTTTGCAGCCCTCTCTGGAGGCACACTGAGTGGTGGCATTCTTTCCAGTGGCAAGGGAAAATACAGCAGGTGAGCAAATAGGTCATTATTGAAAGAACCAGTTGGAATTATAACATACTTGTATGAACCGTTTCTCTGTGCCAGGCATGTCCTACCTATCATTTCATTTTGATTTAACCATCAGTGAGTGGTGTTTTTTGTTTTTTTTTTAAGATTTTATTTATTTTTAGAGAGAGGGGAAGGGAGGAAGAGAAACATTGATCAGTTGCCTCTCGAACACTCCCAGCTGGGGACCTGGCCCACAACCCAAGCATGTACCCTGACCAGGAATCAAATTGGTGACCTTTCAACTTGGAGTATGACACCCAACCCACTGAGCCACACCACTCAGGGCTTCAGTGGTTAGTTGTTTTTTTTTTCCTACTTGTGCAGTTTAAAAACAGGCTCAGAAATGTTAAGCATTCTTTACACTCTTCCACATAAAGGATAATGTTTAGGTCCTCCCTCTACTCTATTAGGCTGCTTGCTTCAGAAAGGGAAAACACATATTTTTGCAGGATTTCCAAGGCTGTGCTCTCCATTAGGCTTGTCACTGGCCTTCAGTTGAACAGCATTTATGCTGTATCTTGTTGGCTTATCAGTGCTATCATCTTCATTAGCTTCCTATTCCCATTTGGTAGAAAAAGAAAATCAATTCTATGAACTTGTGTTGAGAGTATGTAAAGCTTTATCACTGAAGAGGTTGTGACTTACTGGGTCATTTCACCAGTTAGACAAATGAGAACATACTCAGAGAAACTAACCGATGTTACATGAGAAGCAGTTAGTTTAATGCAGTAGAGACAGAGGCCTGGGAAGGTGGGGCAGGGGGAGGGGAGGGCAATTATAAGTTAGGGAGGTAGGGGAGGTGGTTGCCTTCAGATTTCTGAAGGGTCTTGAACTGGAAAAAATTAAACATTTGAGTCGTGCCAAGAGGTAGATTAAGATGACTTGGCAGAAGCTAGAGGGAAACTTACTTTGATTCATTATAGAGAATATAGGGAAAATCTATATAAAAGTCCAAAGAAGGAACGTATTACCTTATAAATATTCAGCTACCTATCCTTGGAAATGTTTAATGTGAAACCAGATGGCCATTTGGCTATTAGGAGTCAATCAACAGATGGCAGTTGGACTGGATCCCACACCTGAGTGCTTGTCAGTCACCTGGGAGCCTCTTAAAAATAGATTTCAGGACCCTATCCCAGTATTAGTAAATTAGAATCTCTGGGAGTGGGATTTAGGAATCTGTATTTTGAAAAGACTTTCCAAGTGATTCTGCCATAGTGCAAGAATAAGCATCTGGAAACCACTTAAGTAAATAGTCTTTATGAAAGGCCTTTTCCAATTCTGAGAGTGATCCCATGGTGGAGCTGAAACTAGAACCCCAGTCTCTGACGTGATGCACTTTTCCATTGCACTGCCTCATTTTCCTGGGCTGTGGCACATTCTTGAAGGGCATCTGAGGCTGGAGCAGCACAGCAAAGATACAGGTGGCAGGCTGGAGGTTGTTTGAATGTGCAGCTGGAGGCTGCTGCTGACCCGTCTGCATCTCATGACTCTGGGTGTTTATTAGGGGATCCCACCCCCACATTCTGAAGAATTCACTGCTGTGCTTTTTTAAAACCAACACTCCTGTAAATAAGCAGACAGACATAATTGGAGACTGACTTGCTGAAATGGCAGTTTAGCCAGTCCAGCTGTTCCAGTTCTGTGGAAGCCTTCTTTCTATAGGCTTGCTTCTGAATGGAAATTCCTTTTATAGGAAGTGAATGAGTCAGATGGGTTTGACTGTGAAACCCATTATGAGGAACTATTTAAGTATACAATAAAATGGTGTTAGAGCCAAGAAAGGAAATAGTTACAGGTTCTTAGCTCTGAGACACCATTGGAAAAGTTTGCTGCTCTTATAGGAGATTGGCTTCTGTATGTCATTCAGTCTCATAGATTGGAGGTAATTTGATTTCTAAATGTTTGCGTTCCTAGTATGTGCAAGACATGGAGGATAGAGTGAATGAGATGTCTTTCCTTTTTTGGAGCTCAGATGAGTAGAAGAGAGATGTGTACATTGATTAATAAATAAATAGGTGCTGTAGGAGCACTTAGGAAGTGACTGGTGTGCTGAAAGATTGAGGGGAAGTGATAATTTCTTTGTTAAGGACTGAATATGAGTTTGCCATCTAGAGAAAGGAAACTTCTAGAGAGTGGGAATACCATGTCCAAAGTCATGGAGGTATAAAATGTGTATAGGTGCATAAGGAAAGAAAAAATTGAGAGTGATTATGATTTAGGACCTGTGGTGAGAGAGGAACTGGAGAGCGAGCTTGGAGGCAGATCAGAAAGACCTTAAATGCCAGTTGTCGGTAGGGAGCCAAGAGAGGACTGTTAGTGATCACGTCGTCGTTCACATTGGCACTGATCTGGAAGTGCTTTTACTTGGACTTAGAGCTACTGCAGAGAGAGCCCAGTTGTGGTTATCCAGTTAGGAGATCTGGAGAGCCTGAAGTTAAGCAGTAACAGTGGGGATAGAAAGGAGGGGACGATTTCATTAAATATGTAAGAGAGAAACTGCGTGGGCATCTACTTGAGCTGTTTGACAATTGGAGATCAGATCAACTCAGTTTGCAAGAGAATAATGGAAGAGATGTGTGCCAGGAAGCAGACTGTCTTGGAATACCCAGGTCTCATATTAACTTAAACGTCCCCTCTTTACACAGGTTAGAAGTCCAAGCCGATGTCCAAAAGGAAATTTTCCCCAAAGACACAGCCAGTCTTGGTGCAATTAGTGACAACGCAAGTACTCGTGCTATGGCCGGTTCCATAATCAGTTCCTACAACCCACAGGACAGGTATGTGACCAGTCAGATGCCCAGGAGAGGTTGTATTTTTTGGTCAGGTACTAGACCTTCAGAAACTCAATGCCTTCTATTAGAGCTCTGTGTACGATCTAGTGGGATACATAGTGTGCATACCCTGTGACTTCATTGAGCAAGTTCTTGGCAGCTCTTGATTGATTCTTTTTGTTAGCACTTGAATTTTAGAGGATTTTTTTCTTTCTTCCTTTTCTTCCTTTTTTTCTTTCTTTTCTTGGTTTTTGCAACAGTAATTACTTACATGGACTTTGAGAGCTAGATTGGTATTCATTGATATCTGTGGATCTATGGCTTCTGCTCTCATGTTGCCCTTTGCTTGGTGTGGCTCCTGTACCTTATTTTTATTTTTGAGAACTAGTGTGTCTGGTATGGGGTGAGTGCAGCACTTCCTTCTGGAGAGTTCCTGGTTTCTTCTAATTGTGGCACAGCAGTAAAAAGCTATGAATCTTCTTTCACTTTCATAGGGTAAGATAGTGTGAGGCCCTGACACTTAGTTGAATTTTGGAAGCTCTTTTTTAGTTTAAAGAAATTGGCAGAGGTGTACATGTATGTTTAAATGAACAAAAAGGATCTAATTGTTCTCCATCCTATTTGAGTGTTAAGTTAAATTTTTATTTTCACTAAAAACGAGCTCTAGTCTATTTACCTGTTTTTGGGCTTTCTAATCCTGAACCCACAAACTGCTTTTACCCACAGGTATAACATGACCCATGCATGACTCAGCATAGTGGATTTTGTCTCCACAGAGAATGCAACAATATGGAAATCCAAGTGGACATTGAAGCCAAACCAAGCCACTATCAGCTGGTGAGTGGAAGCAGCACAGAGGACTCGCTCCATGTTCATGCTCAGATGGCGGAGAATGAAGAAGAAGGTGGTGGCAGCAGTGGCAGCAATGAAGAGGATCCCCCCTGCAAACACCAAAGCTGTGAACAGAAAGACTGCCTGGCCAGCAAACCTTGGGACATCAGCCTGGCCCAGCCCGAGAGCATCCGCAGTGACCTAGAGAGCTCAGATACACAGTCAGATGACGTGCCAGACATCACTTCAGATGAGTGTGGCTCCCCTCACTCCCATACTGCAGCCTGCCCCTCGACTCCCAGAGCCCAAGGTGCGCCGAGCCCAAGTGCCCATATGAACCTCTCTGCCCCAGCTGAGGGGAAGACTGTCTTGAATCCAGAAGGTGCAGAAGCCAGAGTATGAAGGGGAATGAATGCTCCTGTTCTGAGAAGCACACTTGTTGTAACTGCATCTTTTGGAATCTTTTTTTTGTGGGGGTGGGAGTAGAGATTTCTGTATTTTGCTTCAAAAATTCTCTGGTCACAGGTTTCCCCAGGGAAACTGAGAAATTTGCAATTTCTTACAGATAAAACATGGGAAATTTTGCCCTTAGTCCCACACCCCATCCTCCTCCCCCCTTTTTTAAGTTTTAATTTATTGGTTAAACTGATGGTGGCAATCGGTGAGGTGTGTCAAAGAGTGTACAGATGTATGTGTGTATATTGTATGTATGCTAACATTACCGAAGGACACATTTTAATAAAGATTTCTGTTGTAATTCAACTCCTGTCGTTTTCCTTGGCTTGGGTAGTCTTTCAGAGCCAAGGGTTTGAAACAGACCACTAGTCCTTAACAGTCTGTAGATCTGAGGTTCCTTATCCCAGGGGAGAAGGATTGTATTCTGATCTGACTGCACTGGAGTCATCTATGAACCAGGGATTTCTAGCATAATAGGAAGTAAAGCCGGGCTTGTTTGGGACTATGTAGTCAAACTGAAGGATTAGCTGGGTCAGCCAAATAGAGAAGCTGTAGATTAAGATGGACCTTGTTTGCCCTCTAGAGGTAGCTGTGCAGTTTTCCTGTTAAAGTTTTATTTAACTTTTCTGTATTGTAGTCACTTCTAGAAATGTGTTCCCAGAGCAGGAAAGGAAGGGGTGGCAGTTCAGTGGCTCTTTAGAGTGATCCCACAGTGAATGCCGCAGGATTGTAAATTGGGGAACGTAGTATTCTTACTGGAGGAAGAAATGTACCGATTCTGTGTAACCTAATCACTGAGCAATAACCTGGGCGTGTGTTATGCTCTCAGGTATGTATTCCCTGTTCAAAAAAGTTTTCTCAGTCTTGCCTATTTAGTTTAAGAGTAACAGGAATCTGACTGACATTTGTAATGAAAAGAGAGAAGAAATGCAGCTGAAACCTCAACATACTTATTTTTATCTGATCTTATAAATTTGTCAGGATCGAGCTGAATTGGTACTACTTGGGATTTTGGCTCTGTCTAAAATAACAGTCTAAGAAATGAATGCTCATACACAGTATATCAGAAAAAGTAAAAGATTTATGAGACGATGTAAGATTTCAAATCTGAAGGTAACTTACTGTGAAACTGGATGAGTTGGTGACTCTCCTGCCCCCTGATTTCTCCAGCTCAGACAGTATCTAAGAAGCTTCCAGTGCCAAATGTCTCTGTCACCTCAGCCCTAGGCCTAGAGGCAGCATTGAAAACATCCTTTCCCTGAGGACCAGATGGCTTTCTGGATCCTTTCACAGGTGCACCTGTTCTTTGTCTGCTTGGCCTGTGCTTTTCTACAATGAGGATGATGAGTCTGGGCAACTGCAAACTTGGGAGATCCTTATCTCGGGACCTGCAGCCAGACTCAGCACATTTCGCTGCACCTGGGACAGGAAATGCTGTTAGTGGACTCTGGGTCTCTGGAAAAAGGCATCCTCCAGGATGTCCACGTGTGAAAAGGGAGCCTGTTGGGAAAAGGTGCAGATAGTATAGAAATAGCTGAAATGCAAATTATCAACTCTAGACCTATAATTCTCTTGAAGCCTCAGGAGATCGGTTAACTTGGACAAAATCAAGGAAGAGTGATAAGGGACAGGAATTTGCAGCCAAACCTGTATTCTTCCAAGTACTAACCAGGCCCGACCCTGCTTAGCTTCTGAGATCAGACGAGATCAGATGCGTTCAGGGTGGTATGCATTCTTATCTAGGCTCTACTTCTTAGTGCTGTGAGACTCAGGCACCTTATTCTGAGTTCATTTTCACTTAGCTGAAGTAGAGATAATAATCCTAACTATGGGGTTGTAAAGATTGAGGTGGTGCACTAAAATGCTTTCAGTAAAGGCCCTTGTTTTTTTCCTCTTGCAGGAACAAGAGCTAAGGAAAAGGAATTATGGGTGTCATCTAAGAAAAGCCCAGAACTCTAGACCAGAGGCCATGAAAAACTAAATTCTAATCCTTTGCAACACTACTGTTGTGTTGTGTCTCCTAGACATTAGCAAATGAAAGGCCCTTCACCACCACCTGGAGATCATAATGCATTGGAAAAGTTGGTCAGTTTAGAATTTGGGAGCATATAATTTCCTCTTGGTAGAGCTTTCATTTATTCTAAAATAACTACTATGTTTCATGTATAGGATGCGCTAATAAGGAAAACAGAAGTTCTGTCTGCATGGAAGTAAAGTAACATCGTAGTGGGGAAAGGTGACCAGGTACATAATCGGGATGAGGGTAAGTGCACTAAAGAAAGCAAAGCAGGGAAAGTGAAGAGAGTTGGCAATGTTGCTACTTAAGATGGATAGTATACGCCTCTTTGATAAGGTCACATTTTATCAGAATCCTGAGTGCAGTGAGAGTCATGTGATACCAGGCATGAGGAATAAAGTACAAAGGCCCTTTGGTAAAGCATCCTTAGTTTGTTTAAACACACACACACACACACACACCCCACCCCCACCCCCACCCCCACCATATAGGCGTTTATGGCTGGAACAAATGGACCAAGGAAGGGAGTAGTAGATTAGGTTGAAGGAGGTGGCTGGGATAAAGATTGTGTAGATTAGCAAAACAACTCTGACCACAAGAAATTTTAGGTTCCTCTTGGGCCAAGAAGAGATAATCTTCGAAGCCAGACAGATAGGTGCTTGTGAAACTTTGAAAGGGGCTAAAGCTGAAAGGGTGTGTCTGGTCACAAGTCCTCCTTGGGCCAGTGGAAAAAATCGATTGCATGTGATAAATAGGTACTTATTCATCCCAACCTCTTTCTAATGTGCTTTCTTGTACTCCACAGGCTAGAAAGCTAGAAACTGCAGCACCTGTCTTAAACTTCCTTGAAACCAAGGGTCTGAATGTAATCAGTTTTGCCAATTAGATGCACAAACAAGATGTGGAAGGAAAAAGTGATTCAGGGTTATCTTCAGCTGCTATGATTTGCTCTTTGTGGGATGCGGGGACCTTGGGTTTCTCTTCAGTGGTATTCCCCTCTCCACCAGGAGTTTTGTGGGTGTCGAAGGGCTTCCTGATGCATATATAACAGTGATATGTGCTCTTGTAGTCAACCCGAGGTGGCCTCTTGATTCCTCAACGTCCTAACTGTGGCGGAGGTAGCAGCTGCCATGGTGGATCAATGTGGGGGTCTTTGCTAGGTGCCCAGCCTAGAGACTGCTCAGCCAGGCTTTTCCAACTCTTGTGCGCACCTGATTTACCTGTACAGTATTCTGTTCTACTTAAAATAGGTAGAAGGGATTTGTTTCCTTCAACTACTAAACCTGACTGATAAAGGATTTGGTTCCAAAAGCGATTATAGGCAATAGGTCCTCAAAGATGGGACTCAGATTAGTTATGACTGAGTTGGATTTGAAGGAAAAGGGAACCTAATTGCCACTGGAAAATGGTGAACTATCAGGCAAAGATGACTGACAGCCGTGGTCACCTGAGATCAAATGTCTTAGAAGAAAGATTAGCAGACTTAGATGATAGTGGCTATGCTAAAGAGGTTAAAGAAAATGAAAGGCTCAATAGTTTTACATTTTCAGCTCCAGGCAAATAGGGGAGAGCCCCCAAAGAATTTTGTCTCTTGTAGCCACAAGGCTGATGTACATGAAACGCAGGTGGAGATTCTGGGTTATTGAATTGCAACGTAAGTTAAAATCACATAAGTTAAAATTACCAGGTCTGTTACGTGAAAATTGGGGCATTGGGGACAAGTGGGGTTCTGAAATAAGCCATGGGAATATTTGAATGGATTTCAGTAAATCTTAACTGTTCTGAATCCACAGGCTCCAGTCAACTTTTTCCTCTCAGTCTCACTTGGAGACCAATGGGTAGTTGCCTTGGAAGCGAATGCTAATACTTTTCATTGCCCCTAGTACTTATTTCTCAAGTGCTAATACTACTTCTCATTGCCCACTACCCCTTATTACCACCAGACCTGTAATTACAGTCAGATCCCAGTTTGCATCTCAAAGGCAAACACAGTCTGATCTAAGAGGCTTACAGAAAAAGTGTAAGATTTTGTTCATTTGAATCAGCAGAAACCTGAGGAGTGTTTAAAAACTAGACTCAAAAGGTATTAGACCAGGAAGAAAAGAGCATAATTTTATTTTCATTTGGGTAGAATTTACTAATCTGGACATTCTAGAGATTCTGGCTTTAGCAGCTAGAAGTGCCTCTTAGCCGGTTGGTTGGATGAAACTTGGATTTAAAATGCTCTGTACTCACGATTGAACTGCCAAAAATTACTTAGTATATCATTGGAAGACAAAGCCAAAAACATGGAGATAGAAATGTTGATGCAGATTTTTTTAAAGATTTTATTTATTTTATTACTAGAGAGAGTGGGAGGGAGGGAGAAAAAGAGGGAGAGAAACATCAATGCATGGTTGCTTCTTGCACACCTCCCACTGGGGGCCTGGCCCAAAATCCAGGCATGTGCCCTGACTAGGAATCAAACCAGCAACCCTTTGATTTGCAGGCCCGCACTCAATCCACTGAGCCACACCAGCCAGGGCTGTTGATGCAGATTTATCATAATGTGTGACCTCATTTCCTAAGTTTGCCCTTCAAAATTGCCCAGAGGATATTCCATTCACTAAGGAATTGGAAAGTACATAAATAATGGGAACACCTTATCTTGAGAAGCACTGGAGTGTCTGTTCTCCATAGGCCGGGAATGAAGCTATGAGATGCTGCCATTGAAATGGAATCCCTGGTGTCAGTAGGGATGATGGGATCCTGGAGTGACAGGCCAAGGGCCTGTACCAAGGCAACATTACTAGAGTGGTGAAATACAACCCACTGAGTTTCTCTTTGGTCTGTATAACACAAAACAAAACTCCAACTCTGGCAGAGAAGCCTGTTTTGAATCACCAAAATGGAGAGTTACGGACACTCAGTTCTCGGACCCAAGGCTCTTGAATAAAGGGATGCTGGGTACCCTGAAGGGAGCACCCAGTATATCATCATAACTGAATTGTAGATCTTCTAGTCTTCCCCCAAAGCCTCTCAAGCCATTAACCTCTGTTCCTGTGCCTGAGAAAATGGAAGTACCCAGGCCTTTACGGAATATCTGGAAACTGACCCTGAGCCAGCACTAATCCTAAGGAACCTGAAAGGTCTCTGTGGTCCACTAATTAGAGTAGTGGCATAAGGGGTGCTGTGGGTTGAATCATGTCCCCAAAAAGTCATGTGTTGGAGTCCTAACCCCCAGCATCTCAGAATGTGAGCTTATTTGGAAATAGAGTTGTTGCAGATGTAATTAAGATGAGGTCATACT